TCGCGCCGCGGTGCTGCGCCAGGGCTGTGCGGAGGGTGTGGGGCACCTCTGCAGGGGAGAAGGAGAGCTTTAACACATATATCTGCCGAGAGCGGTTATACACTCTTTGCAGTAATCAGTGTACAGGGCCAAAACCTGCATTTGATACAGTCCTTGTGCTGCTTGCTGACCTCTGTGCTGCATGAAGTCGTGCTGAGCCCCGTCGTGGATGGTGGTACTTGGGGGCAAAAGCCGCTCCGGTGCAGCCATCCTACACCAATTGGGGCTTGCACAGGCGGCTTTGTTCAGCTAGCATCGTGCTTAGCAGCGGATGTGCCATCGACATGGGGTGGTCTGAATGTTGGCTCAAGCGTTTGCGCCACCGTTCGTTGCAACTGAAAGTTGAAGCAGCGGCATCTGCACATCGGCCGGGACATACCAAGGCCATTTACGCCATGGTACATATAGTGATCCTAAATCGTCGCACCCAAGGCAAGCTTTCGATCACGACATCAAATTCAGCTCACCGAACCTCCGGCGCTGGTGGAAGAAACGCCCTTCAACAACAAGGCAACCCGAATCATGGACCTACTCTAACTTTCAAAGACTAAGAGATAGATGGCTAACCGCGCATGCCTACCAACTGACATCTCCATGACATCTTGTAAGTCGTCTGGATATTCATACTGTTACTCTGTCCTTATTGTCCGTTATACCTCTCTATGTCTTAGCAAGTAACACTGTTTAGTGCACCGCTTTAAAGGTGAAGATGTGGATTCTCGGCCTCTGCATCCTGGTCTTCGGGTCCGACCTCGAAAAGTTCAGGGCCAACTACCTGCGCCCAAATGTCGGATTCAACACCTATGCGGGTTTGCTTAAACAGGGGCATGGCTTTGTTGGCTTGAGCTTTTCTGTGTTTGCGGCTCCAGGCTTAGTATTGGCTTTAAGCCTACGGGCTCCCTGAATCCCAGCCCACAGTATAGCTGGTCTGCCTTTGCCTCTATTCGGAAAGCCGAGGACATCAGCATTTTGAAAATCTTGTCAAGGTGACTAAAGTGGAATGCCGTGGCGAAGTTAACCGCAGAATTTAGCTCTATCAGTCGAGTCTTGTCACACGGGCACACTCCACCGCAGCACTGTGGTTGTCGTCTGGCGTGCTCACTTGAGGTTTGAGGTGTAGTTCTCGGGCACTCAGACGCTTCACCAGCACCCCGGCATCTCCTGACCACAATCCCCACCACCCACACGGTCTTCGAATGCTGACGACGCTGTGGCATGGGTGGCATGGGTTGGTGCAAGAATTAGTAGTGTCATTAGAACCTGTTATGCTCTGGGGACATGATATCTATGTTGAAAACTGGGTTCATGGCATTCTCGAACCCCCACAGAGCCTGTCAACATCTCCAAACCAAGCTGCTCACGAAACCGCTTCTCCGAGCACTTTCGAGATCGGAAGCTCCACGCACTCTTGCTGTTGGAGAGGTATGCATGCACGTATGTATGCATGCATGTGTATGTACATACGTATATAAATATAAGTATGTATGTATATATATATATAATGTGTGTATATATATATATGTTATAGTTATATATACATATATATGTATATATAAGTTTCTGGGGGACTTCATCCCTATAGGGCTTTTTTCAGGCGAGGAGGGGGGGTCCATATTTTGTAGTATGGGAAGGGGGGGGAATCTCAGAGCTTAAAGCTTGACGCGCAGTTTAGAGCAGCGCCTGGCATTCATGCAGGTCTGCCTTCCATGTTCCATGAACATGCGGAGAAACTGCGGAAGTGAACCTGCCGAAAGAGGTGGTGCTGACACCTTCCGCCTCGTCAAGCACGAGGTGTCGGAGGCACTTTAGCCCTGCCCGCAGCCACTCGCACTTGTCTGCCTCACCAGCACGAGGGTTGCGGTCGAATTCAGGACCTAACTGGACATTGACAAATTGCCGAAAACACTTCGGCTGCACTATCAATCTGGAGATGCCGCCGAAGAAAATCTCATGGCCAATTTCCATGAGTGTACCTATTGTCAATCAACATATTGTCACCAAGCGGGTGCTGCAAGCGGCCGAAAAAGCATAGGCGCATAATGCAACCATCAGCCAGGGCGCGCAATAATCCGTCGTTTACTGCTTCAGAGTATACTGTTTGAGGAATCCCAGCACTAATTGTCCTTAATCCAGTTTCCAGCTTTTTGGGGGTTTACTTTAGGAAGGGAAGAGGCCGTCAGCCTCCTCTCCCATGCCCAGCAGCGCATAGATGCGGCCCGGCGTTCCAACCTCAAAGAGACGCTCCGACTCATCATGTAGGGGCCTTAATGAGCAGAATAAGGTTTTGGGATCCTCTATAGTAGCTATATAGTTTTAATGAGGAGGGTTTTGGGCTCCTTCATAGTAACTATAGAGCTATAATAAGGAGGGTTTTGGGCTCCTTTATAGTAACGTATATAGTATAGTTATAATAAGGACCCCAGGCATAACATTGGTGTATATTTAGGCTTCTCGATTAGCCCAAACCCGAGTCTCCCATATTGCTATATGTTACCATTGTCCTCTACTATGACCTACAGACACACGTAGCGATCCATGATCTATGGTCCGCTTATAACGCGATATTCGGACATTCGAGAAAAACCCGCAAAACACTGTTTAATCCGAGGTCAGCTCCATGTCGATGCTGGGGATGGGAGCATCTCACAGAAACCCCCAGGGCGCGCCTTCTGTAACGCGTATATAAGTAGGCCCCAAATCCAGACCCTGAAGCCCAAAACCTGAGTAAGACCGAAGACACAAACCCTAAATTCCTAAATCCCAAACAATCAAACTCTTACCCCCAAAACCCCAACAAAAAACACGCAGCCCTGTAGAACCCCAGAGCCTCAGCCCCGAAATTCCCCCAAACCCCTTCCGTCTCCTGAGCCCCTCACCACAATCCCAGGCCTCCGCTTCAGCAGGCGCCTCGGTGACTGGAGCAGAGCGCCGGGTTGAGGCAAGGATGTGTAATAATAATAGTAATGATAGTAGTAATTATAATAGTAATAATAATGATGATAATAATAATAATATAGAGGCCTTATAATGATTGCCAATATACTATTTTTATGTTTTGGGCTTCCTGATTAAAATAGAGTAAAATGGACCCCAAAACCCTGTTCTTATTATTAAGGCCCCTGTATTAGCCTTCATGGTTTAGGGTTCTGAGGGTGCCGAGCTTAACCTTGCGGAAAGTATGAAGGTCCCGAAAAATGGGGCCCCGACCGACAAACACACACACACAAACACACACACACACACACCCAGAGAGACAGACAGAGACAGACAGACACAGAGATCGCGCAGTACATCTGATTTGGGCGAAGTTGAAGCCTGTCTGCAAGGCTGGGGTTTAGGAAGCTTTGGAGGCTAGGAGTTACAGGGCTAAAGGGTTTAGTCGCTCAAGCGGTTCGCAGCACGCGGATTTCAGATAGGGCCGCGGGCCTAGAGGAACATGGGCCTCGACTTGAGATAACTTGGACGTTGGCCTCACCCTCTAGAGAACCAGGATGTAGGTGTAGGTCCAAGGGGCGAGGCGTCTAGCGTTGTACAGTTACTAATGAGTAATCATCTACTCTAAGTCTACTAACAAGATGTTACAGGGACCCTGTAACATACCCATAAATTTCAAAGTCCTGAACCCTAGGCGCGAGTCCATGATCAAGATCACCGTCTTGCGCGAACAACTTGGAACCTCGCTTCTGTTTTTGTGTCGACATGCCTGGCACATCCGGGGCAAAACAAACCAAGCGGGACTGCACGGACCGCACTGCGCGAAGTGAGCTGCAGTTGCCATGTTTTTGATCGTGCAAACCACACAGGACAAGTGACAGCCTACAGCACAAATGCGGCATGACTCGACTCAGCAAGACTGCACCCTTGACCACTGGCACTCCTGAACTGAGCAAGCATGCACTCTGACACTTCTCAAACAATCATCTCAAAGCCCCACCTCTGCAAACCAAAAGTACAGATACTCAATGAAAGTGTCTCCTGTCTAAGAATAGCAATAGTTCAAAACAGACGAAGCGACTGTTGTTGCATGCGAAAACAGGATGGCAATATGGTCAGAAACCACAACACAGGCCTCCCACCAAGCACTCGGTGCGGAGGTTCGTGGCCGCTGCGGCGGCATTCAGATGAGACTGGACCTGGGGCCATCACATCTAGCAGTCTTTAACAGGACTGATCCTCTTGGAGCAACATCGACCCTAAACCCTACACCCCTATTTAAACCCTAAACCCTAAACCCTAAACATCATCGTTCATGACCGTCATGCATCGTGTTACGTCGTAGGTGAGATCCGGGTACTGCCGAAGGACTTAACAACTTCACATACGTTGCCCATACAGTAATATCGTGTTGTGGACCAAGTAAACAGGTTAATTTGATTTAATGGATGGATACCAGTGACATGGTTTCAATCTTAATTAAAGAAAAGGAAGGATGGATAGACAGACAAATAGATCGAACGATCGAGACACTCCATGCTCCTGCATCTGTTTGGCTGTCTGTCCCGGCACAGAACTCCTGGCATACTCTTTCTCGTGCGCGTCGTGTCGCTGCGCCCGAAGAAGCTAAAGATTGAAAGTCCTACGGCTGGCAGACAGAGCATGCTTTGGGAAGCATGTGGGCCCTCTGAGACTTTCGAGTTCCGGCTTAAGTACAGCACCGCTGGTGGCACACCGAAACCCTGCTATGCTAAGCAAATGCCAACAGGATCATGCTGCGAGCTATGCAGCACGAGCCAGTAGCCCACCTGCTCAAACAAGACCTAGAAGCCTGGACCCTAATTTACAGCTTGTGTATGGAATTCTGCCATCATGCTTTGGGGCTTAGGGACAAGACTCTTTGATTGCTTTCCCCTGACCCTATAATATACCACACTGTGAGCAGCCCTGGGGCTTCATAGGCCGGGAGTGTCCGTCGTCGGCGATGCTTTGTCCGCCTTTCTTCTGCGATCTTGGAGGCGCGGCGACTAAGCAACTCTCCGCGCCATCACACGCTCCTCCGGGTTGGGGCCGTCGTGCTGAGGGGTGTCGGATTCAGGTTTCAGAGTCGAGGGCAGTTCGGGTCGATTTGGGTGGTTTTCAATCTGTAACTGGCAGTATCTAGTCACAGAAGTCGGGAACCCGTGCAAGCAAACTTCAAAGCGACTTCTGGATACCGAGCTGTAGTCTTCGTGGTCAGTTGTTGGATCATGCCCTCGTGCAGTACCAGGGTCTGGGATTTTGGATGTAGGGTTTAGGGCCAGGGCCTAGGGTTTTGAAAATTTAGGATTCTGCCTAGGATTAACTACTGACGGGATGCGGCTTTGGGACTGCTGGCTCTTTGGGACTCCTCAAGGTTGGAGCGTGTGGAGGTTTCAAAAAAATACTGCCCTCACTTCTTCGAATCTTGGAAGATAAACGGACGAGGCTTCCACATCTCACAGACATCCAATGCCCAATAACCCGCAAGCCTGATAGCTGACTGAATAGCAAGAGCCGTTGCTCCTCCTTTGTGCGGGTGCTCATCTTCCCGGCCTTTCCACACGCACTTCTTTTGCACAGGTGATGTGGGAGTTTCCGAAAAATAGAGGGGTACCCTTACTTTGGGGTCTTTAAAATAAGGATCCTACTATTTAGGGTTCTAGATGAGGGTCCCCTATTTTCGGAAACCCCCCATGTCCCGTAGGGTACAGCGAGCCTTGCCTGAGCGGTAGCCACTTGCTCGATGGTCTTCGCGTCCACGGCCTTTTCGCCTTTGTGGACCTCGGTCTTATGGTAGGTGCACCAAGCATGGCACATTCAGGCTTACCATTACAAAGAAGAGTATCAACGTGACATACGATATTAAATGAACATGGAAAAGTGCAAGACTCGAAGCACAACATAACCAAGCAACAAATCAACAACGCTCAACAGTAGTATCTTAGATCGTACTGCTCAGAGATAGACCAGCAGAAAATGACACAACACCTGGCTTCGTTCCCCAAAGCCTAAGCCTAAACCCCAAAACCCTTGAACACCCTAAGCTTAGACACTTGCTGCCAAGGCAAGGGCCCTGATGGCCACCGAGTTGTAGTAGCGCACCCCCGGATCGTGCTGCGCCTCGGAGAGTTCGAGGCCCGGGATCTGAGTTTGCTTGGAGGTTCATGGGTAGTTATAAGTGGGGGGGTCTATAGGGTCTATAGGGTTTATAGGGTTTATAGGGCTTATAGGGTTTATAGGGTTTATAGGGTTCATGGGTAGTTATAAGTGGGGTTATAAGTAGGGTAGCTATCCATATTAGGGGACTTATAACCCTACTTATAACTACCCATGAACCTCCCAGTGGGGGTTTATATCTTGCTTTAGGGTCTAGCTTAGGGTGTATAAGGGTTTAGGATTTAAGGGGCTGGTGTTTAGGGCTTAAGGCTAAAGGTCTGGTGTTTAGGGATAAGAGGGTGTCGAGATATAAGTAGGCGTGTCGAACTCCTGTTGAGGATCGAAATGCGACAGTTTCATCAGGCCGTGTGGTACAGGGTCTTCAGTATATTCCACGTGCACCAGTCGGGCAGGGATTTCAAGCACCAAAGCACAAGGCGGCCTGAAACGCGCTGTGGATCTCGTTCTTGATGTAGTCGCGATCCTGGCTCCATCCCGACTACCCGACCCAGCCCTGCCACGGGGCTACGGCAGAAAGCCCTCGGAATGCAAGGCCTCAAGCCGCGGAGTCTCCAAGAAAACAAGGAGCTTGCCTTGACTATAACTCACCTCAGGCCCCAGCTAAATCCTCCCCGTGCCTCATCTTGGGTCCACAATAATTAGAACTATACCTTAAGCTACCATAACCTGCTTTTTCGAAGGTTCTTATTCTAAACCCTAATATGGTATTTATAGGGACCCTACAAAAACGTGGGTTTTGGTAGGTTAAGGTATTGGTAAAGGAACCGCAGAAGAGCATTGGTGATGCTTCGGGCTTCGCTTGAATCGGAGGCTCCGCTGGCCCCAAAGCCCCCGAAAAGGCCGAATCCGAAGCGCGCCGAGGGGTGCCAGCTTCCTCTCCGCCTTCTCCCGCTTCTTGGCCAAGCCTGGCGGGTTTAGGGTTTAGGGGTTTAGGGTTTTGGCATTTAGGGTTTAGGGTTCAGGGTTTTTAGGGGCAAGCTTACGGAAGCGAAAGTTACGGTTGTCAGGGCTTCTATACGATGCTTCCATGAATGAAGGGTTCACCCTTTGAGAGAAGGCTGTTCCTACCTATGCAGGCCCCTTATGCTAGAGTTCCTTAGGATTTCGCGCCAGGTTTCGGGCTCGGGATCTGATGGATGTCGAAGTTTGGATCCCTTTGCTCCAATGAGAAAATGACAATACGGATCCTACTGGGCAGTTAAGCACCTGCACGGTATCTTGAAACCTCGTAAGGCTACTTCGTTTTGAATTCTGTTGACCCCTCTCAGTCTTTCTGATCCCATGCCGAAGGCTATGTTCAGCACTAGCACGCTTGCCCGCTCCGCTGCCAACACGCGAACTTGGCCTTGTCGGCTGCAGTGTCACGGCAAGATCACGTGCGCAGCAGCCAGATAGGCCGGCCCAGTCTGGTGCTAGACTAGCACACAATACCGAATGAGCATCGCCCTGCAGTTTCGCAATGCCCCAGGAGCTCTTACCCAACCAGCAATCATGTATTGTAAGATTGGCTAGTGATTGCAACTCCCTCGTTCTAAGTCCCCATCGTCTAAAGCCACCCCGCACACATCTCTAAGCAACTTCTGCCAGGAATACTTCGCTTTCGGTGACGCCCTGCAGCCTTGGCGAGGGTAGCTGGGTCCAGCGGACTGATTGGAGCGAGTGGATTCATTTTCTTAGCTTGGCGATTGAGCCCGACCATCTCTGTCAGCTCTTTCTTGGCGGCGGTGGCCTAGTCTGGGCTTTGATGCCTGCGCTAAATGACGGTGATTCTGATGACGACAATGATGATGATGATGATGATGATGAGGGCACCAAGTATCGTCAGTCGCTGTACCCGCAGCTGCAACTGCTTTGGGTGCTGTTGCATCTGCTGCAGCTGCAGCTGCACTCTCAGGCCAACCCGAAACGCTGGCAGCAAATCTGGGGTCCCGAGCCTTTTCAGCAAGGCGTCGCGCCTCGAAGAGGTCCAGGATGCGAGCCTCCGGCTGCAGCTTCGGCTGCTGTGCTCACTGGACTTTCACCTTCCTGCCTCGTGCCGTCCATTCTCCGAGAATAATGGCCTAGCATATATGTAGCATCGAACCTCATGGAACCTGCACAGCATGAACCCAAAACACCCAATCCGGACTGAAATGCTGAACTGTCCGGCCCACCCTCAGGCGATTCCTCGCTCTGGAAAAACCCAAAGGAACGAGGAAGTACCAGGCTCGGCCTGAATGCATGCAACATCCCGACACCCTGCTCTGAAACTTGCCTAAAGGTTGCCGGGAACTTGGCGGTTCGTGAGTAGTGATAAGTAGGGTTATAAGCCCCTTAGCCTTAGTATGGGTTATAACTATATAGTTACCCTAATTATAAGCCCACTTATAACTACCCATGGACCTCCAAGAAGGTCCTGAAGACTGGGAGGATCCTGTCCGGGGGCCTCTAGGAGAAGGAGGATCCGTTTGTGGTGAGCTTATTTCTGGGTTGCTGTACTCTTTGATACTGCCATGGTGACTTCGCCCAGCCTTGACTCGATTGTCAAGTTCGTCCGCGGTCTGCGGAAAAATCGAAAAACCTGTCATGTTGAAGCCCCCCAAACCCTGAACCCTCTTATCAACCTAAAACCCTGTCATCCCTCTCGCGTGAACCCTATAAACCACCCCTCCTCCCCCCAAAGGGCCCAGCCTAAACCCTAAACCCTAATCCCCCCCTTCCCCCTTCAATTTCGAGATCGCCTGCTCCTCTTTGCTAAGGGGGGCCGTCTCTCGCCCCTGGGAGTCCAAGTCGCTCACAGCTGGGGCCGGAGCCTGGAAATCGGAGCGGTACAGTATCCGTTTCCGTATTTTTTTTTGAAGGCCTTTTCATGACTGCCGAGGGAAACGTGTTTAGGGTTTAGGGGTGTAGGTTAAAACCGACGGAGGCTAAACATGATCGAGGTTCTGGAACAACCAGGTACAGCCAGCATTGCATATACTTATAATCTCAGGGTCACAGTAGCAAAACGGGCGGTGATGTCATGCGGAGGAGGAGAGCAAAGCATGAGGTTCTCGCTTACTTCGGCTGTATGGCTCCAGTGGCGTTTTGCCACCTAACTCCGACCCTAAACCCTAAAACCCTCAAGCCTAAACCCGAACTCTGCATGATCTCGCATGCTGCAGTCCAGCCCTTGCAGGCTCGTGGCTTCCGGCATACCAAGAGTCGAACCCCCCCTAAACCCTATAAACCCTAAACCCTAAACTGCCCTAAACCCTAAACCCCAAAACCCTAAACCCCGACCTCATGTCGTCAATAACTGAACTCTCCCGATGTATCAGTCCCAGGCCTGTGTGGCTTCCGCAGACGTCGCTGGTTCAGCTCGGAGTTGGTCCCTGGTGCTTTGATGCGTGGTTTCTTCCACGGCTGTCGGGATCTTAGCAAAATTTTGAATGGGTTCTTTGGGGTCTATTGAAGTAGTCTTATCAGCTAGTGAAAGACGGCAGGTGTTGATTTCGCGGAGTTAGGGCTTAGGGTGTTGGGCTCTCGGGGCTTGGTGTCCAGGGTCCACGGCTTGGGGCTTAGGGCTCAGGGCACTAAGGGTTCTCGCAGGTTGGGGGCTGATTTTGAGGGCTGCCATGATTTGAGGGCTGCCATTGCTAAAGACCACATAACCTGGACTTGGGATTCAGGGTTCGAGGTATACGAGTATCCCCACAACCACCCCCCCCCCAGGCCCAGAATGCTCACCAATACTCATATGACTCATAAGCAGTCCTATTCACACCCACTGCACAGACCCTACGTTGGGTGGATTCCGGGCCTCAGCATCTGCAGAAGGGCATCGTACTCCTTCTGGTCGCTCTGTTCGCCGTCGCCGCCGGCCTAAGGCGCGGCATCACTTTGACTACTACTTGAAGGATATGTCATGCGATAGTTGTAAACTACCTACTCAGGCCCTTGTACTACGACTCGTATGGCTGAGAATGGCGCCATTGTTGCTGTTGCTCTTGATCGGAGCTTCGAATGTGTGCTAATCCATCCCTCTTGCCGTTTCTCGGAGCACGTGCTTGCAGGTTCTCCTCTTCTCCCCTGTGGTGTCAGGTAAAGTTAGTCGTTGAGGTGCGGTGGTTCGCAACCTCAGGAGGCAGAATTCACCCCCTCCAGGTTGCATGACCTTGTCCATCTCTGTCTGTGCCGATCGCTGTGATGTGGAAGCACCAACTTCATGACAATCTGGAGCTCGCTCAAGAACATGCAGCATCTGGATATGGGCGTTGGGTCCTGCGCAGTTTCCATGTCTGTCCTGGCCTAGATGGAAGTGGGCGGTTTGCATCTGCACAGGAGAAGCTGCTGTGGGATGAACCCGTGCTTCGTGCACCTCCTTGGCTGTAAGTCTCCCACGGCAAGGCCAGTGCAAGTGGTTGCTTCGAAATCCACGATGCATGAACGTATACTGGGCTTTGTGTTGCCTGCAGGGACGTTTTAAAGAGTTGTCACCCCACAGGGATGCAAAGGATAGCTAGCCTCACCAAACAGGAGCAGATTCAGATCTACATAACGTCAATGTCACATCTCGAAAGGTCGAACGATGTTGTCTGCCGTGAACAAGGACCACCAAAGCTGAAACAGGCAAGTCTGGACCCTAAACCCTAAACCCCTAAACCCTAAACCCTAAAACCCCAAAACCCTAAACCCCTAAATCCTAAAACCCTAAACCCCTAAAACCCTAAACCCAAAAAACTCTGGGCTGAGCTCGGAGGAGTCTTTTCTTCTCACAATCTGGGGCTCTCGCATCGGTCGTCTCCACAGGCTCCTTCGCAGGCGCTGCACAGCAAGTTCTACTCAATAAAACATCATAATAATAACAATATAATAATAATAATATAATAATATTAATAATAATAATAACCACTCTATATCTATCTATCTGTGTATGTATATATATATATATATTATACATTAACTCATTAATTAATTAATTACCAAGTACGAGTCTCTACAGTGCGATAGTGGCAGCGGACATGAACAGGCCGCTCATCAAAGGTACGCCTCCATCACAAGACTCAGAAATAGGGTACCCTAATATAGTACCCTAAATAGTAGGATCCTTATTATCAAGGACCCCAAAATAGGGTACCCCTAATTTAGCCTCTCTCCAAAAAGACGTCAAACATGCCTTGCCACGCGGGGAAAGAACCGCCGTCCACGTGAGAGTTTCGGCAACTAAGGGGTCCCTGACATCAAGCGTAGATAGCAGGATCGTTCTATAAGGACTCCCCAACAAGCGACCCCCGACTGTGGGGCACGCCCAGTTTGCATCCACAAGCACTATGAGATTGAATCCTTGGGCATGGCCCCTTGATTCCATTGAGACCCTCAGTGCGAGAGTCTTGCGCGACGCAGCCACTGGAGGTTTCGAGAATCGAGTTGAGAGCGCAGGGCTTCAAGATCAAATGTTTAGGGATGTTTGGGGCTTGAGCTGGGGTTTTTAGGAATTGGGGCTTGAGAGTTGAGGGTTTAGGGCTGCCAAAGACTCTGCCGCTGACCTGCCCGCGCAAACGCCTCTCGGCAACTGTGGCGAATCCCTCTTGGAGACAGTCAAGCTTCTGCTTAAAACCTCTCTACACCCTAAACCCCTAACCCCCAAGACCCTAAAGCCCCATGCCCCTAAACCCCTAAAAAGCCCTAAGACCCCAAAACCCTACGACTCTAAGAGACTCAGGTCCTGAGGAACCGCAGCCGGCTCATGAGGCGGTTCGCCGTCGGTGGTCTCCCGGTCGGTGGGGGCCTGGCATCTGATTGCGGACGTCTCTCTGGTTCTTAGTAGGGAATGGGGGAATGGGTTATTGGGACTACTATAGGGGACCTTAAGGGACTATCATAGGGATCCATTCCCCCAATTCCCTACTAAGAACCAGAGAGACGTTTGGGAGTTTCGGCTTTGGGCTCCGGGGGGCATCCGTGGAGTCCCAGCCAAAAACATTTCGGGTTGGGTTTAGGGTTTAGGTTTTAGGTTTTAGGGAGTTCGAGAGGACCTTTCACGGTCGCAGTGGATTCCTTGCTCTGTGCGGAGGAATGTCGGGGTAGGCAGTCGTGGCTTTCTCGGCACTGAACGGGTTATTTAGCCCCAAGCTCGAAAACTTTCGAACCGGAGCAAGCAAGCAGACACAAGATCTAAACCCTAAAACCTCCAAAACATACCCTGAACATCCCTAAACCCTAAATCCTAAACAAAACCCTCCAAAACATACCCTGAACCTCCCTAAACCCTATAAATCCTAAGCAAACCGAAAGCAACAGAAGCAGTCAGCAAGCTTGCCTCTGCCGGCTCAGCGCCACGACCTCCCCCCTGGCCAGGGAGTCTCTGTGAGTTCTGGGTTCAGAGTTTTCGCCAGGCCCTACTAGACCTGTTTAGGGCTTATTTATGCCGGAAGACAGAGAAAGGGTTGAAGACTTTGGTCTCCGATTTTTCTTCATCTTGGGGATCCATTGGGCTTCAGTGGTTACGTTTAGGACAGGTTTCTGATTTCCAGCTGCATCGCCTTGCCCTTGCGCCGCCGCGGCAGCCGGGCGAAAGGGGCCCTGTCAATGTTGCTGGTGGACGCAGCTCCGCCAAAGCATCAGTAAGAAATTGGTGCGCCTGTCAACATACAGCGAGAGAGAAGTTGGCAAGCATGTGGATGTAAGTGTCATAAATTGCCATAAAGTCATAGCGTGGCACATGTCGATGAGGATTGGACGTGATAATACACGCAGCAGTTTGAACCTGCCCTGACCCAACCCGAAAGTGAAGACAACTCATCCGTAGCGATTCTGACTCCTTGCTTTCAGTGCAATAAGTTTGTTTGTAGCGCTTCCTCACCTGCTTGTTCCTGCAGTTAGGAACGTGTGGCAAAGAGTTCTACAAACATGTAACATGATGCTATTCGCAACTCTCGCCTTTTCCTGTTGGCTTGCTGCTCTGGTTGTTAGGTAGATTTACGGCCCGTCGTGGCAGCTCGTGCATTAAATCAGATAGGCTGTTCGTCAGTTTGCCACGCTCATTTGGCAAGAACACTATTGACACTAGTGATTCTTACTCGAGGCCTGCGCTGCTGGTTGCGACCGCCACTTTCGCCCACCTTGCAGCGAACGAACTCTTGACTGCTTGATATGCTTGGATGTACACTTTGAAGATGTTAGCAAGCTTCCAGCGATCTTGAGTACAAGTCTCGAATGCTTCAAGAATCATGCAGCGTCTTCGTCCCTTCACAAGCTGTACCCGGCGAGCGGGCGTGAAACTGCGGCGAGAAGAAAACGTGCATCGTTGTGCCGAAGCTATCCACCAATAGCAGCAAGGTTGACAGCAGCGAACCCAGCGCGAAAAAGCACAAACCATTCAAGGCCATGATGCCGCTGTGGAATGACCATGCAGCTGATCCCAGAGTGACTGCGCGGTCGCTGCGTGTCTGGGACTTACGTGTCTGAGAACGGGAGTCAGTACATGGACAGTCGAAAACATCCAGTTGCGGGCATTGGGATCGTTGCTCGTTATGAAGAGAAACAGAAGTACCCCGTGGCCATAAGCCGACTACACGAGGTTTCCAACCGCTGCCGAAAAGCCTGGCTGAACCACACGGCTCTAGTTAAGTTAGCTCAATGTAACTTACGTGGGGGCATGAGTCTTACAGTCCACAACCCTGAGAGCCCTGGCCCGAAACCCGTCACCCCGTGCAAGGGTCCGGGCTGGAGGATACTCGTCCACTTTCTCCTCTCTGGGCTCAGGTGAAGGGGCAGCGGCCGCCTGGGAACCCAGCAGATCAAGGGTAGTCTTTACCCATAGGCCCCTAAGTAGTTCCTTTTTGGGATATTTAGAATCCTATAAGGTAATCCCAACAAGGAACTACTTAGGGGCCTATGGGTAGGGGCCCTTGGGGTTGATAGGATTCAATCCTGATTGCTGGAGCTTCTGCCTACTCCCTGCATGCCTTTGGAAAAGCCGGCATGACATTGATGAGCAAAGCGGAAGATGCCTACTTACCGGATTCCTAAACCCTAAACCCTAAACCCCAAACCCTAAACACTAGTTGCTTGGAGCAGCAAGTGCAAAAGGCTTTGACGAGGCCTCTGCCGGTGGCCGACTCCTGCTTGAAGGGGAGAAGTTGTGCCTGACAGCTGAAACCCGATAGCTTGAAGGTTTCGCGGAACAACGGAAAAGAGGGATAGTCATAGCAGGTATAACCAGAAATCTGAAGAACTAAGACAGGCGAAATCGATTCATGGAAGCTTTGCTAAGCTTCACCATCCTCGTTTTCACGTTCTCACCGAGCCAACCATTCTTCGAGGCTCTACTTGAGCCCCTTTGCCCATTCAGACAAGCCTCGGAGCCTCATCGGAAAACAGCCCTAGTTCATCACCAGACACCCGAAAAGCCTGAACCCACCTGACCTCAAAACCCCTGAACTTGAATAGCCGTACAAGGCGTAAGAAGTCGACATGCGTGGGAACTGCTGAGTCGCGTCCGGCCTCTCTCTAGGCGGAGCAGGCGACGGACCTGCCGGCTCAGGCGACGATTCTACGGATGCAAGAAGTTTGAAAGGAGCTTTACGGCCTTATAAGGTGCATCATATGGTGAAAAGGCAATATTCAGAAAAGGGCGGGGTAGATTGTTTTCCCTGTGTTATTTCCATCGAGGTATGCCAATTATTGCAGGGTTGCAGTGACTAATTCCCTAAGGGTCCAAAGGACCTAATAATCATGAACTTGGGTTACGGATAGTAATCGGATCGTAGTTTTGCAGGTTGCTTAGTGTTCAGGGGAGTATATGATTATCAGGGTACTTTGGACCCATAGGGATTCGGCTTCTCTGAACCTTGGAGCTCTTAGAAGAAAGAACCGGAGGGCCCTGTGGATCAACGGGGCCGCCACAAGCTACACACTGAGACCCACACCTGCCCTTTGATGTCTCTTTCTGGCATTGAGAACCCTAAAAGCAGCATAAAACCCTACAACCCTACAGCCACGAAACCCTAAAGCCCTAAAACCTGAAAGCCCTAAACCCTTAAAACCCTAAAGTTCTATAGCCCTAAACTCCTAAAACCCTAAAGCCCCAAAACCCTCAAATCCTACGTAAGTCCCTAAAGGCCTAAAGCCCTAAAGCCCTAAAAAACCCAAAACCCTCGAAGCCTAAAGCCCTAAAACCTGGAAACCCCAAAACCCGGAAAGCCACTGACTAAACCCTAAAGCCCCAAAGCCCCAAAGTCCGACTTTTTTCAGGCCTCGGGATGGTGCTGCGCGCTTCCCCGCCTGGCCGAGAACAAAAAAAAGGACGACGAGAGAACTTGAGGCTTTGCAAGGGGTTTAGGGTTTAGGATTCTTTGTATTTTGAAGGTTTAGGGTAAAGGTTTTTTTGGTTTAGGGTTTAAGGCTGTTTCTAGGGTTTAGGGTTTAGGATGTGGTGGGTTCGGGTTTGGGGAGTTTAGGGTTGAGGGTTTAGGATTGGGGTCTGCCCCAAACCCTGATTAGACCCTAAAAGACCCAAACCGAAGCTCAATTTCAGGTGATGCTTCGTGACCCTCGGTTGCCGGGAACCGGCAGGACCCGGTGTGCGGTGAGGTGCGGCGAAGAATGTGAAAATCTAAACTTTGCTTCCTGCACACCTAAACTTTGCCTAAACCCTGAAAACTAAACCCCCTAATCCCTGAGCCCCATAGAACAATGGCCACGAATACGCCCCCAATTCATCTCCTAACTCTTTCCAGCCCCTTTCCCAGAGAACCCAATACACCTTAATTACGGAATATGCCTTAAATTATAAGGGGCCTTAAAAGTTATGATTTAAGGTATATTCCTTAAATGGGTTCTCTGGGTTCTCCTTGGAGCAGCATGTCAAGAAGCCTCAAAAGTCTCACTGTGTCCTGCTTCTGTCGCTACGAAGGCGGCCGGCCCCTAAACCCAAAGGGGACTGTTAAACCCGAGCCGAAGCCTGAAGTAGGGCAGGTAGGGTTTAGGGCTTTAGGGGT